TGGTTAGAGAAGAACAACGTTGCAACATTTTCCTTCAAATTTCATTCAATCATTCACCATGAAGTCCACATATCGGACGGTTGCGATGTTCGTTTACGCACAGCATCACCCCAAATTTGAGTACTGAATCGCCATTCAACGTGATCACTTAGATGGATGATGGATCCATACAAATGAAATTGTTGAAGAGACGAATCATGATTTCAGATATTCGAATGGCGATGTGAATTGCTACATAAAAATTCTAACAGCCAACATTCACTGAGAACACTAACAGAACATTGTGCCCTCGAGCGGTTGCTTGAACAGAGACTGAAACGCATGCTACAAACGCATTAAGGAAGCGCTATTGCTTAGGGTTTGATGAGTTTTTCAAGATTAGACGCAAAAAATTTTTGCCCGAAACTTCTATCGTCTCGACAACATGAAGCCATGATCAAACACCAATGAACGTGAAATTCTGAACGAATTTTTGATTGTCAGCTATTCAGCGCTTATAAAAGCGCAATATGGGAACGAATAGGGCAAAACACTTGAGTCAGCAGAGGATCGCATTGAGCAACGATCAAATGAATGCTAAATTTAAAAATTATCTTATTTGAGCAACGCTCTGATAACCCTAAAATGAACTCTGTCTCTTATCAGCTATCAATATCATTCATATTAGTCGACTGTCACAAATTCTCATCATTCTTCACTTAATTTTGCAACCGTTCAGTCATCCTCACTACCTGACAATTGCAAAATCTTCTGATAGGGATTTTTTTGGGGGGTATACGATTGAGCAGCTCGTAAGAATGTGAATTTTCAAAAAAAAACACTTGTTCCATCCAATCATCGGTCGAGTTCAGAAACCGATGATCGAATCTGTTCTTAATTGCTGTCAACAGCACGATGAAATCTGCACCAATATGATCAGTTTACTGTCATACTCAACAGATTGGCTACAAATTTTTTTGGGATCGATGTTTATTGCACTGAAATCAATAGTACATCGCTTACATGCAACTTCACATGCAATCGCTGTAAAATTCATGCAGTTCTCGACGATTCTCTACGGTAATTGGTGAAAAAAGTTTTGAAAACCAACAGATCCGGTGTGATCGGGTGTAATTAGGTGGGATTTGCGATGAGCTCATCTCTCATGTCAGGTGCGCATTTCTGCGTTTCGTTTGAGTATTCAAGCAATTGGGCACCCATGTGTACACGTCTGTTGCGCAATCGTCAATTATGAAAGTGTGAAACGGTTCGATGGTAAGTCTCTGTGAACGGGAACACAGTGACGAGATAACAAAACATTTCAGATGCCTTTTTTTGATGTGGGTAGTTGTTATACATATTGGACTGTTTGTTACTGACTTCAACAATCCTTTTGAAAACACTGAGGGAAAACAACGTTGAAGAATGCTATTCTACAATTACATCTCGCGGTCATGAATACATTTTCAAATCATAAATTGAATAATTGATAAAATTTAATATCAGTTGATTTTTGATCTACTTAATTCATCTGATATCATTTGATCTACTTAATTCATCTGAAGCTAAAATATGCGTCTTTCATTCATTGAATCTAACACGTCCGCTGCCTCAATATTTGGTTCTCCTTATCGATAGCGACCAGTGAACCCCGGTGTGGACAAACCAAAAATATGTACTGATCGACTGACAAGGAACCAAATACCCGATAGTCCCATTATTAATTATAAATCCGAACGCCATGAGTTTTACATCCGACCTTTATTAGTTATGGTCGTTTGTTAAAAGAAAATGATGATAGAAAGAAAAAATTTACGATAGAATGAATAAAAATGCTCGATCAAATGGCACGAATGGACTATTAATTGACATAATCTAATGATGAGCATCAACTTCGAAACTTTCATCGAACCAGTTCGGCTAAAAGAGATGAATAAGGAACACCAGTTTCCATACTAGAAACTTTACAGTACAGAATTCTTGTCCAATGCTTACAGGTATTGTAAAACGTTTTTGTATTTGATTGTTTAATAGTTTAGCTGTTTCACATAACACGTCATGCCTGTTCGCGATGACATTGTTTGCGTTCACATCCCAAATATTCAATGCGTTTTTCATACTTCCGAACATCCATCATCCACCTGTATGGATAATGCACTCTGCTTGGCAATTCACATCTCCTAAAACCAGTCTATTTTCATGAAACGCATCGCGACCAGAGCGAAACTCTTTGCGCACAGCTTCTCCTCGGGAAACTTCGTAAATTTGGAATAGCGAGAAAAGATTCCAAATTTAATAGTTTGATCGGAAACGATTCCGTGTTCACAATAAGCGATCGAAAACTCCATGCTAGACGCAAATCAGTTATCCGCTTACACAATCACACCAAAAATCCTCAATGCGCATACCATGAACTGTTCACGTGGGATATTTTCAAAGACTTTTGTATTTTAAATTTAACAATTTCGAATGTTTCGTTTTCCGGTTTGTCCGTTTTTTCTTTCATAAACCCGAGTTAGTGTCCTCGTGCGGCAACAGTGGATGTTTCAAGAGAAATTGTCATTGTTATCAGAACACATTGAGAAGCAATTATAGCAGAACAGGTGAACACTCAGAATTTGTATTGCAGGCTATACAAATTCTCATCGTCAGTGTACTGCTACCAATACCTTGGACGATCTCACCAGCAACGAAACAGTTTTAATCGCGCATTCAGAACTTCTTATTTACTTACGATACGAAAAAAAGTTTATTTGGGTTCCTCGATGAATCGACTTTCGTCGTGATGGCAAATGGGAAGCGAAAAATTTTAGCGATTGAAATTCTCAGCTTTTATTTTATTCATGTCGAACTCATCTTTAATGTTGGACTCCTTTGTGGACGGAATCCCTTTTCGCTGAATTTTTCAGTGAGTTGGTGCTGTTTCGATTAGTGATCTTCAATGAGCACAGTTCCTGTTGAATTCTTCCAGTAAAATAAGCGTATTTGCATGCAGCCGATTAGCAAAATTTGTTGATAAAAATTCATTCTGTAATGTGCTTGTGGAATATTTTCTATGATAAAACGAATTCCACATTGGAATTACCGAATATTTGAACTTAATGATGCGATATTTGATCACTTATTCAGCTAACACACTTCGAATTGATTGAACAAAAGCAATCATAGTACTTTCATTGACCTTTCATAGAGATAATATGTTCAGGTTTGATTTATTGTGATTCACTCAACTTTACTATTGTCTTTGCGAGTGATTAGAGCATATGTGATATCGTTTATCATTTAATGCATCGTTTCGAGCATTCAGTTTATTGTTATACTCTTTGCTTGTACCTTACAGATGTACAGTGCTATCGAAGCGGGTTGGGGGTGATAATGCTGGCAGTGAGAAGTGGAACTGATAACAACCTGTAACTCATTCACATGTGTGAACGAGCAAAAACGATACATCAGCTGATGTCAGCACTCCATGAATGCAGTCATAGTTAATTCGTAATGGAACTCCCACAGAAGTATAAAAAGACCCGAAAACTTTCAAACATTCCCAACTCACTGAGTTTCTGTCCAACTGTATGCTTTTTCAAAATTTTCGATAATTGATGATTTCCATTAAATTTTTAATAACCTATACTACATTTCTTGGGATTTTATGGTGTTCCAATAGCTGAAGATTTTGGAAGCATGATTTGTGATGAAAGCAATATCTATGAGAGGAGTTACGATGCGATATCAACAGTGAAAGATATTTTCAAATCATTACAATAGTATGTGAAGTATTTTTGATTACGTGTATACTTCTCCTGTTGAACGCTATCGCTGAACAGCATTACATTATGTTCGAATCATTGAAAACAATCGACTGCAAATTTTTATCGCGATTTTCAGCGAATTGCCAGTGGTGCTGCATTTTATTTTCGACAAATTTTTCAGTACTAAATAAACCATCAATAAACTCTGATAATCAAACAACACATTTTATTGCACTTCTACTCGTTCTCATTTTTGCTACTGGTTCTCATGTGCTAGCCCTTCTTCGTTGTTATTTGCCAATGGTGCACTATTCATCGTGCTGCCTGCGAGCAGCAGTCTATATTGCGAGCAGTTTCATTTGCGGCAATAATCCTTTCTATCAATACAACATTCCATTGATTTGTGCTTAACAAACAAACGAAAACTCATCGGTTCTTCACCTATTGCGTCTTAAGATCATAAGATAATCTTTCACTAACATAAGAGAAAGTCGACCGGAAAGACTGCTAAACGTTGGAAAGTTCTTCTTTTCAGTTGATTGTCTAATACAACTTCTGAGCATGTCCAACTTTTTTTAGTGGTTTTCATTATTTTGTTGTTTTTGCATTTTATTTGCGGGTGTTCATAAAATGTATTGTTCGTTCACCATTAAAGAATTTCTGAGCAATGATCGCATAGTATTTCTAGGATGTTATTTGGAAAGCAAAAATTCCTTTAAAACGATTTTTCTCGATTGACTGATTGCATTAGAGAGTTTACCGATGTTCTCACATCAGCAAATTTTCAGGAAGAATGGTTGTGCAAATACCAAGCGTTAAGCTCGCCACTGGTGCGGATCTTCCCCTATTTGGGCTAGGCACATGGTTGGCCGACGATCCGCAATCTCTAACGGATGCGTTACGTGCGGCACTGGATGCCGGCTATCGCCTTATCGATACGGCCTACGTGTACGGGAATGAAGCAGTTATTGGAAAGGTGCTCAGTGAATACATATCAGCTGGAAAGTTGAAACGTTCCGAGTTGTTCATCACGAGCAAGGTGAGATACATCAGGTTGAAATTTATCAGTTATTAAATGTGAAGTTGAGCAGTGATTTGCGACAGATTCTGTTCCCGGATCAGCATTTCATGACGTTTCAATTTTTGGTCGCGCATTTCGCGTCGACCGTGCACATTTCACACACAATCCATACTGGATAATGCTCTGAAATGTCAAGAGCACTATCCAATCTTGAGCAGTCTGAATCGATGAGCAGAGAAGTTTCTCAAGAGATTAGCCGACGTCTCGAGCATGGTTATCAGTTCGACGTGGAATTGAACGCTTTATCATCACATTTCAGCTCCCATATCTGGCTCATTCTCCGGATGAAATTGAAGCGATGGTTGCCGGTCAATTGAAGGATCTTCAAACGGACTATTTGGATCTGTATCTGATACATACGCCATGTCCTTGCAAACATCAACCTGGAAATAAGCACGGTGATTATCATGCGTTGTTGGAGAACGGACGAGTGGTGCCGGATCTGATCGATCATCTGGACACGTGGAAAGTTTTGGAGAAACTCTTCAAAGAAGGCAAACTCAAAGTGAGCATGTTGACGACTGCAAAATTTGATGCATTGTTCAGACACGAACATGACAGTTTACTGAAACTTCAGGTGTTAAGGCAATAAACTTTTTCAGGCGATTGGAGTATCAAATTTCAATCAGAAACAGATTCAGCATCTCCTCGACCACGGCACTGTACAGCCACACAATTTGCAAGTAATATTCTTTCGTGCGCGATGTTTCTCACGTATCGTTTTTGTTTCTTGGTTGTTCCGGAGTGGTATGAAATCGGATATTCTATGAAATTACCACTAACAGTAATAAAAAAATTCTGGCTTAAAATACAGAAGTCGGTCCTATCCAAGAAATCGTTCATTAATGTTACTAAAAAACTCAACAGTTGGTGTTTCGCAGGTGGAAACGCATATCTATTGGCCTCAGAACGAGCTGTTCGAGTTTTGTAAGAAGCACAACATCACGATGACTGCATATGGACCAATAGGATCACCGGGTCGGCAAGCGTTCAGACCTGAGGGCACATGGCCCGAAGGGGAGCCAATGAAGGATCCCATCGTTGTAGATTTGGCTAAGAAATATAACAAAACTCCTGCTCAGGTGCAGTGCTCACTCTACTCCCATTAAGAACGCCATAATTGGCTAACAGAATTTAGACCATCACTTCATTTCTAGTGATGGACCTTCAAGAGATTTTTCTGATCAGCAATCACACACCATGACGGATCACTAAAATACATCTCGTTTGGCGGCTGAAAGTTAGCAGTGAAAAATCAGTGTGCTCTACTGCTAACATGCCTTGATATGGACTGTTTTCTTGAGTGCAGTGATGGACTATTTGTTGAGTTTTTGATCATTTTATGGTGCAGATTCTGTTGCGTCATATGGTACAACGCGGTATCTCGACGATTCCGAAAAGTACAAAAGCGGAACGCGTACGCGAGAACATAAACATTTTCGATTTTGCGTTGACCGATGATGAGGTGAAGCAGTTGAACAGTGTCAAGACACACACCCGACTATTCGTCTTCGATTTGTTCGTTTCATATCGATCTTTGCTACGACTGATTCTCGAATGAAACTTCATTTTAACAATATTTTATTCGCATGTCAATATGTGTAATGTAGTACAATACAATCTATTACTATCTGGCGAATATGCTACCCCAACTATTGCTGGGGAGGAAGAAAAGATTTTAAAACAGGGAAAGGAGAATAATAATTTTTCAGCACCGATTATTGCCTTAGTCGGAGCTTTTGATGAGAGTCACTGAAATTTCCAATATTTATGTTCTGCGAAAATCTCGCAAATTTCATTTTTTTCATTTGTGAGGTATTCGGCAAATGGTAAGGGGATTTGAACGCAGTAGAGAGGATAACGGGCAAGCATTCGCTTTAATTGTTGTTGCACTCAAATGTGGCCGGTCCATTTTGCAATTTTTGCTTTTTGTTGTTTTCAGCTTCAGTGAACATCCGTTCTATCCGTTCGATGATGTGGATAAGTCGAAACTCAAAGAAGTTCATCTCACTTCGTTCTAAACGCTCGTTGTTCGACTCTGTTCCCGTTTCCAGCTAACGACTGCTGATAAATCATCTCGTCTTCTTCCGATGTGCATCACTCAAGCCATCTATTCATTAGATCAACACTCGTATTCTATTCATTCAAGTGTTTCATCTTTATTGTTATCCGTATCATGCTTGTTATCGTTATCATTATTGTTATTTTCATGTAAAATCATTTCGATCAGTTTTTAATACAAATAAATTGTAACGTTTTTGATGTCCAATTGCTGTCGATAACGCTTATTGTGATTGGAGTGAAAACCACTGATCATTGGTCATCTAAACTCGCCTTTTCTGAATAATGTGTTACGCAAAGTAAATCTCCCTATCAGCACTACTGAANTCATTGAGTGTCGTCATATTACAGCAATTATTTGGTATGCTAACACTATTTGACAACAAATAAGCAATAATATACATTTGTACGCAGTGAGGTATCAATTAAAGAACAGGAATTCGCTGCGCTGGTAGGCTATTGAGCGTTGATCATTATCGAAATAACCATATTCTCCCAACAGAAGCATAAACGAAAGCAAGAAATAAGATGGGGTTAACGCAATTTCATCTCTGAAAATTGATATTATGTGAAGAATTCGGCCATAACGTGCAATGTATGCGAACACATAATGCATACTTTCATTTTTTTCTTTTGTTTTCGATAGCAAATTTGCTAAAATTTGGAGAATACTAAATAATTACTTGAAATTTTGCTGATGCATTACTGCTTCCGATTCTGTAAATGATGATTACGCTGTGAAGTTCGAAATTCTACTCTTCAGTTTCGCCAAGCAAAATGACTTCAATCGGGAACATTTGACTCTTCAATAAATCTTCTGAATGAGTGGGTGATTCATATGATCAATTGTACATCATCACTGAATGTATTCGAAAAACAAAGAGGGGCTAATAGGTGAGAGTAATGAATAAATGAGGTGTTTCAAGGGTACATGATCCAAACGATACAGAACCAGGATGTGGAGGTGATACGCTTGTGAACAATTTGAAGAACCGTTTGGTTTTTGCAACAAAACGTTTTTGAGTTGAAATTTTTGTGTGATTCAACACCGTCATAACCGCAAGAATTGTTCAACATCTGTCGCGTAGTGGTTTTGATCAGTTTTGNAGCAATGAAACAGATAAAAAGGTACTGATAACTTGTTGAAAACATCATCAACTCATCAAGTAATATTTAGAAAGACTCGGGTCCTCTTGTAAGAAAACATTGATATCAGGACCCAGTCATGATTTTTGAGATCAAGGACAACGATACTAACTTGAGCTATAACGAGTTCCTTCCTCCTCTGCCCTCGCAAATGAATCCTAGTTTGAATTATTCTAGAAAAATGTACAAAATTTTTCCAAAGTTTCGGACCTGTTGTCCCATAGAACATTTGACAGCTGGAACTGGCTGCCTCTCGGTGTGATTAATAGGTGAATATAAATTTTATCCTTTTACTGCATAATTAGTTCTATCCATAATTAGTGAGTCTATTGAAAGTGCATGCTATTTGGTGTAACCACAATGCTGCTGTTCTTGTTTGTTCTGACACTTCGAAAGTCATAAATAAACAAAAAAAAGCATTGAGACATCATCAAACGCACATACATCTGATGTAATTTTATCATCTGGTTCCACTCACGTCAAGCATGCTTCCACAACGAAGCATTTTACATTTGAGCTTCTTGATTATTCAATATTTCCGGTTCGAATTACCATTGCTGTACCAGCAAAAAAATGTTCAGTTTCCTTCACGTGATGTTCTCGAATAATTGCAGGTGCTGAAGCAAACAAATATTTACTAATAACGTCTCGATCACTTGATCATTCAATCATGCGATTGGAGAGTCGAACTCTGGTCCGCTTCTAAAAAACCTATAAAGTATTGAGACAACAACGATTACATTACTTTAAAGTATCGAAAAGAATATTCTCAACACTTTAAAAAAGTATCGAGTCATCACAAATTTCATGGATATATAACCCACCTCGTCTTCTGGCTCTAGTCATTTTACGATTGCTTTCACATCAAATCATCGTATCTCTTTCTGATTTTCATCACTATCGTCTTGTTTCGAACCCAATCAGGCTTTTCATGTGGGTGATAATATTGAAATTGCGATTTTCAGCTCATGCTGAAATAGTCGCCGGATTTACACCTCTTACTACGGTTCAATGTTCTGATGGATTGGTGAAAAGAGCAAGGCATATTGCAATTCCTCGGAAGTACCAATTATTGTTGCGTCATAGACGGAAAACACCTTAATAATGACACACTTGTAGCTGTAGCCGAACTTCATAGGCCAGTTTCGTCTCCGATGCTACCAGATGTACTAAGTCGCGCACATTCGCCGAAAAAAAATGCTTCCTTTTCTCCTCGCTGAGAATAGAGAAGTGAAAATAGTCATGAAATCACAGATCTGTAACTACAATAATCATGTAATACGTATGATTGAAAGTTTGTGCCAAGCCTCCCGTTTGCTATGCGATGGATGAATGACAAAAGCATTGGTTCGTGTTATCGAGAAACAACGCTACAATCTGATCTTTATGAACGCATTTCATGCTCTTCTCAATCATCGTGAGCGAACCTACGTTATCAGAGCACAATCCGTTTGTACTGATTGCTGAGATGATAGCTTTAATAAAATAGCAATAATTCCTCAACTAAGCAAAATCGCC